TCTACAGGTAGGTAAACTGAGGCTAAGAGGGAGTCTCTCTTCCATAGTTTTATAATAAATAACTAGTACTTGAGTATAAGCTTTTCACTCTTTTGTTTTATATTTTTAAGACTTATTTATTTTTATTTTATGTGTATGGGTGTTTCGCCTGACTATGTATGTACACCATGTATGTGCTTGGTGCCCATGAAGGCTAAAAGAAGGCATTGGATCCCCTGGACCTGGGCTTACAGACAGTTGCTAGCCACAGGGTAAGTGAACCCAGGAACTGAGCCCAGGTCCTGTGCAAGAACAGGACGGGGTTTTTAACTGCTGAGCCTCCAGCCCTTAAGTGTACACTTCGCACAAAGCATTTACCGTTTGCTTTCCATGTCTTAATCACCCAGGACAGTGCTGAGCGGGAAGAACCATCAATGTCTTCATTTTGGCACAGAGACGTGGGCTTAGAACAGCCCGCTGTGTTCTCCATCCGAACTCCAACTATTCAGTGGTAGACCTGAGGTTTGGGCCATCTGACTCCAGAGTCACCAATGACAACCACTAACACACATGGTTTTTCCTCTGCTATCAAGCCAGAGTCGTCCGTCTTATGAGACACCGGGGAACGTGTGTCTGTATTAGTGCTGTTGCCCTCTACATTTTTACATGCGTGACAATTCATATGCCATTCAACAGGAAGAAAACCTTTTTATATTAAAATTGCATACATATATGATGTGATATTTTCCCCCAAGAGTGAGTAACGCTGCTATGGTCAGCACAATAATTTCTGTGTTCTGGGGAAGGGGAACGGCTGGAATGGAACTCAGTGCTAGGGGCTTCGCGGTGTATGCACGATAACATCTCAGGGTACTTCACATCAGAAACGGGGTATAAGCCAATGTGCCTCATTGGGGTTTCTGTTCTGGTGGTGCCCCCCACTCTGGTGTCTCCCCAACAAGCACATAAGTTCAGCAGACCTAATGGGCTCCTGTCCTGTTCTTTCTTAATCATCAGGCCTGAAAGACAGCAGGGATGTGTTCAGCAAGGTGGTCCAAACTGAGTTTACAAAAAGGCCCTCACAGAGAGCTTAGAACCCAGACAAGATTGCTCTTTCCTCTCTGATCCAACAACCTGATACATATTTAATTAAAAAATTATGTGAAATGTATGGATTTCCCTGTATAAAAATGGCATTAAATTACAATGTATAGTCCAAGAAACCCTACACTGGGTCAGAAAGGGGGGATTACTTTGTTTACCAAACATTCACTGCATTTCCAGCAGCTCAGTCCCTGGGTCACATGTTGGAGACTGTTGTAGTGGGTAGGCAGTCAGGTAATACAGTGCCTCTCCAATGTTAGTGAGAGAAGGACTTTTGTGGAAACTTGTTTAGGATACACAACCTGGGGCTAGGGAGATGGCTCAGAGGCAAAGTGCTTGCCACACAAACATAAGGACCTCAGTTTGAATCCCCAGTGCCCATTTAAAAACCTTAGTGTGGTGGCAGGCACCTGTGAGCCTAGCACTTCAGGGACAGAGACAAAAGGGTCTCTGGGGCACCCTCGCCTTCTAATGTGTTGAATCCATAAGCTCCAAGTACAGGGAGAGATTCTGTCTTAAGAAGTAGGTGGAAAGTGAGAGAGAAGGAGACTCAACATTTTTCTCTGCCCTCCATGTGCAACACACACACACACACACACACACACACACACACACACACACACACACAAGCAAAGCATAACCTCCAAACTTCTGATTCCCCAAATAGGGGAAGAGCTAAGGAATTGTTGCTATGGGAGGCTGACCCAGATGGCATTGAAGTTGTATCTTGGAAGACTTTGAGCTAGTCAAGGGTTTAAGTTCTGATCAGCTGTGGATGTCAGGAAGTTAGAAGTACATGCCTTGGAAATCTCTTCAGAGAACCTTGGAAAGACTTCTTAGAGTGGGTAGACAACACAGCAGTAAGACAGAAGGGTTCTTTCCAACCAGGAAAAGCACAGAGTGTCTGCCTGTATCTAAGCAGGAAAAGAAACAAGGAAATGGAGTTTCACTTGAAACAAATCAGGAGTGTGTGAGTGTGTGTGTGTGCGAAAGTGTGAGTCTGTGTATGAGCATGTGTGTATGTGAGTGTGTATGTGTGTTTGAGTGAGTGTGTGTGTATGTGAGTGAGTATGTGTATTTCTACATCCCTATTTGTAAGCCCTAAAGAGTGGCTGGCGCCCCTAGAGAGGAGCCCCACATCTGACTGGGAATTAGGCCCACCATAAAGAGTGGGCTTCCTAAGAGACTTACCAGACCGGACCAGCAAAGCCACAGGGGGTTGGAGTAAGGCTTTCTTTCCTTTCTGCTCTACCGCAGTGGAGGACAACACTTTGTGGGGCCTGAGAATGACAGTCCTCTTAGCAGCCCCCACCCCAGCTGTTCCTATCCTCCCAAGAGCCCTCCCACCTTCTCCCAAGTGGAGCCAGCTGTTGTCACCAAAGCCACCTGCCTCTTCCCTGGCCTATGAGTCTCCAGTTCCAGAGGCCTCCAGAAAGTAAGGCAGCTTGCAGAAGGAGGGAAAACAAGACAGCCACTAAAATTAAATGGATTGTCTGCAAACGTGTTTTTAATTAAAATTGTGATTCATTTTCATGGGAGAAGAGGCCCCTTAAGAACAATTGTGCTCCCTAAGTGGCAGGCGCCAAGCTTAGTTTCTTCACTCAGAGCCAAAGAGGGAAGGGAGGTGACCTGGAGAGGCAGGGGTGGGGGTACTTTCCCTTCTGGGGTGAAGAAAGCAAAGTGTGAAGTGGGGGGAGCTGGGAAGAAAGCTTCCCGGCCTCTACTGCAAAATGGGACCAAGCTTGTTGGGGACCAAAAGCTGGGATTCTGTGTTTTCTTTTGTTCCATACACCTTCTCCCTCCTTTTCTTATCCCAGGAGGTCCCCAGCCACCAGCTTTGACAGAGAAGACAGAGCCACCTACAGTCTTGACCTCGGGGCAGCCAGAGTAGGGGAGAGATGGAATCTAGGAGAGAGAGAGAGAGAGAGAGAGAGAGAGAGAGAGAGAGAGAGAGAGAGAGAGAGAGAGAGAGGGGGGGGGGGGGGGGAGGGGGGGGGGGGGGGGGGGGGGGGGGGGAGGGAGGGAGGGAGGG